GGAAGGTTCGAGGAACAGCCGCCGCGACCAGACTGCATCGCTCCCGTGAGCCCCCGCTCCAACTCTCCCCCGTCCCGCTCCTTCAGGCAGCCCTGCCTGGCCAAACGCAGAGGCAGCCAGGAACGGAGGCCCCTTCCCGCGGAGCGCCACGGCATCCCCGGCACCGCCGCATCCCCCGGCAGCACCGCATCAAACGCCGACGGCGACACCAGGCTACGCTCCGCTCCTCGCGCTCCTTCCATACCGAGCCCCGCGTAAAGGAGGAGGGTTCCCTTCGCTCCAACAGAGCAGAGTTGTTGGCGCCTGCCAGTACCTGCTTGCAGTTACTTTCCAGTTCCTGCACGTCCTCCTGCACCCAGGGCACTTCCCGCCCGTCGCCGTCACGGCGGAGCGGGACTTTCTGCATGACACAACCGTACAGACGCGCCGAGAAAACGAAACACCGCAAGCACGCGCGCCGGCCGCGCGGAGGCGGCTCCTTCTAACCAAGGGGCTTTCCCCTGCCTTCTCCTTGCAGCAATCCACCTATTCTAATAAAAAGTCACCTGAGAAAGACCACTCTGCGGTCAAGAATCTCCTTATTTCTCCTGTACGGAGGAAAAGCAGGGAAAGCAGTGAACAGTGTTCTCCTGATTCCAGAAGATATTCCAGACTCCCAGGGGTATTTCCAAGCATCCTGTCACTGCCGTGCCCGGCGCTGACGCCCTGCTGATGCCCCAGGCCCCAGCTGGCCCTACCTGCTGTTTTTGAGAACGTGGGCATGTTTTTCTGGGGGTTCTTGGAAAGTCTCCCAGCAGCACAACCTGCCCAGCGTCCTGTGCCGCAGGAACAGCGGGAAGGGAGCCCACAGCTTTTAAAGGAGGAAAACAGCCCAGGGCCTGAACTGTCCCTGGGGATGGGGAGCAAAGGGAGGAAATAGCGCACATCAGCCCTAAAACACGAGTCGTGTTGAAACTGCATTGTGAAAAACCCACGGACACACTGAAAGTGCCCCAAAACCCTGGAAATGGCGTTTCACCTGCACGAGGCCGCGGAGAGGAGAAGGGCTGCTGGCCGGGGACTTAGCCCAGCCCCACAGCTCCTAGAAACGGGCGGTTTCCAGGAAGCTCCGAGAACGAGAAACCCACATCCTCCTCACGCACCGGAGCCCCACGTCCTCCCTACATCCTCCCCTTGCCGCCTGGGCCCCATATCCGACCCACATCCTCCCCATGCCCCTCGGACCCCACGTCCTCCCGCCGCCCCCGGGGCTGCACCCCGAGGCGGCCAGGCCACGTGGCAAGAGCGGAAGCGCTGCCCACGCTGTGTCAGCGGTACCGCTGCCTGGATCTGCCTGTGTGCCAGTGGTACCACAGGCCGGGTCCGCCTGTGCATCAGCGGTACCATGGGCCGGTCCGCCTGTGCATCAGCGGTACCACTTGCAACCCGTGGTGCTCCGTCCCAAGGGCGCCGGGACGAGCGAGCTGCAAGCGATCGGCTCTGGATCCGCCCCGGCTCCCGCGGGGCCGGCCCGGAGCGCGCGGCTCCGCGCACGGATCC